CTCTCCGAATTATTTAGTTCTGAGCTAGGGCTTAATTTGCACGCACTTCGACCTTCAGTCTTACAATCTCAAGTTCTTCATTCAATTATTTTTATTTTTATTTTATTTTTATTTTCATTATTTTTATTTTATTTTTTTTTTAATTTTTTTTTTATTCTCGACTTTAATTTTTTTTTTATTTTAAAATTTATTTTTCTAAATTTATTTTTTTTTTTGTTTTTTTTTTTTTTTTTTTATAAACTTTTCTTAATCAGCGAAAAAGCGTGGCAAGGTTTTGCCTCCGACAGCGAGTTCATTTAGGTGAGTAAACAGCGACGTAAACACATAACTTATACAATCACTTTGTTGGTTAGTTGAGATGCAGAATAAACAGGCCCGGTTAGGTGGCCCCAACACTGCAGCCATCGGCTTATTGTATTGTCCTGTTCATCTGTTTATTCAGTGAAAAGTTTCATGACCTTGATTAGGTTTAGGAGCCTTTTCACCGTGTTACTTCTGGTGAGTTTAGAGATAGGGTTTTCTGGCCCTATCTGTGTGTATCTCCACCAGCGTAAAGCCTCACATTCAAAGAATATGTGGGTGGTGGTTTCATCCTCCTCGTCACAAAGTCTGCATATGGGTTCTTCTTGGAAAATGCCCAATGTGTGAAGGTGTTTTCCCAGGTTCCAGTGTCCCTTAGACCCAGTGTCCAGTTATTAGCCTGATTTGATTCCTGTTTAGTTGTAGGATTTCTTCAGTAAGTTTAGGTGATGGTTGTAGTACCATTAGCTTACTGTGTCTGAGCTTCGGAAAAGTTTGCCAGTAGGTTTTATGTTGTCTATACACCCATTGGTTTATTTTTGATCTTACCGAGGATTTTGTGGTGCCAATTGCCGGTTCAGAACCAGGTTGCCGATCCTTCTTGACAGAGCATCTGCTTTTTCATTTCCTTCAATTCCTTTATGCCCTTGCACCCATTTAAGGGTTACCTTGTTGACCATATTTAGAATATTGAGGTTATCCAAGAATTCCCAGACAAGTTTAGAGATTTTTTCAGTATCATATAGTCGCTACCCATGGTTAAAATCGGGTTTGTGATTATTTTAGTGATAGCCGCATATCCATTCACTTTTGAGTTCCAGGTTGCGTTCACCTGGAGACGATATGCCCCGATTCTATCCTCCACTTTGACGATAAGGTCAATGTGCACTGGTAATACAAAGACATGCAAGTCCCTGGATTTTGGCTAGCTCCAGGTTTGTTTGTCTTGGTTTCTGTCAACGTCATCTTACTTTTGGTAATTTTTTGGATGTGTTGGTTCCATGTCAGCTTCATATCTAGGATTTAGCTTCTCTGCCAAACTCCAAATTTTTTTCGAATAGACTGGGGTCGATTAAGTCCTTTAGATTTCTTTTTCTCGTGAGAAGAATGAGTTTTGTTTTAAAGGGGTTGACGCGAAGTTGGTCCCTCGTGCATCATTCCTCAATTTTTCCTAAAGCGTCCTGCATGAGGTTTGATACCGTCCTGGTAAATCCTCCCCCAATAACAACGACCATGTCATTCGCGTAGCCTAGGGTGAAGTAGCCTTGATCGTTTAGTTTCCTCAGAAGTTTATATACGATCTTCGACTAGATTCCACAAGAGTGGTGAAAGTACTTCGCCCTGTGGGCATCCTTTTGTGGCGGTTATTTTAATAGAGGTTTCAGCAATAGTCGAGTTTTAGCATGGACTTGATCCCTCTGCATGTGAGCACGTGGTATCATTAATCGCATGTTACTCAGCAACTCTGACTATACAATCACTTGCCAAAAGTTATTTTTTGAAGACTTAAAATAAACGTTTTGGCCGTGAAACCCGAAAAAATTCTTCCTATGGCGGCCGGCCTACGGCAGCGCCTGCCTGCGGCGAGCCTTCATCATTATGAAACCCCCCCCCCCCCAAATAAAAAACCTGGGTGCGCCACTGGTAACGTCAGACCCTGATGCGTGAAGTCCCGGCGGAGCTTCTACTTTTACCTATCCCAAAGAGTCATAGATTGGTTGTTAACGTATCTCCTGATTACAAGATCCGATGCTTACGAAGTGTGTATCTTCAGGCAATAAAGGAAGACGTCTTAGAGCAAGTAACAAAACGTCAGTATCTGGTCTATACTTTACTAAGCTAATTTACAATATTTTATTAGGGGGTGGCTATGAAGGGTTGTTTCTGCCCTCAGACACATTTCCGAGAGAGGGCCCATCCATTCTGTGGAGCATTCTGAAAATTTTATGGTATCGCCCAATATTGTATCGTATCACAAATCTGCAAACGGAATACAAATTGAAACTGGACTAGTTATAGAAACTATCGTCCCGATTCCGCGCGGTCCACTAAACAGCAACAACTTTAATTGAACTTATTGATTAGAAAAGTCACTAATCACTTATCGTTTCCAATCAAATTTATACAATTCTCCTATTTAAACTGATTGTAACTTAATTTAATTTCTAATTTTCAATTCAATTTGATTTTTGTAAGTATTGAAGAGACTTCTTAAAGTATACATGGTGTTTGGTACATCGATAGGGAGATTTCAATGACTGATAGATGCGGGTTCATTTGGAAGCTGTTTGACCATATTCACCATCATGCAAAATTTCACCATTTTTTGAGATATCGCCATTTTTAGATATTTTGAATCCATGTATTTTAACACATAACTTGGGCTACATATTTTTCGTATCAATCATTCGGTTTTTCTTTTCGAAATGTAAACAGCTTTGAAATGACCCCAACTATCACACAATAAAGACTTCCTATCGATGTACTAAACACCCTGTATGTATGGATGTTTTTGTGGTCCACACAAAAATAGAAAGTGGTTAAAAAACGACAATAGCTGTGCTCTGAGTGCTACATTTTTTTCTGGTAGCAAAACGGAAATGACCGGAATGAGGGCGGTTACGCAAATGGGCTTGAGAAAAGGAACTTAGTTTCTACCTTATAGGGCTGAGAATGCCAGCTAAACTCCAGTCGGGAGTGGTCGAGGGTTAAATCAGAAGAAGACTTTAGAAAATAGGTATAATTTTGGACGCCACCCGTTTTATGGCCCTAAAGTAAGGTAGAACGTTAGCTGAAAAAAAACATCTAAAACGGGAAACCTAAAGGATTTCACCCAATTTGGAAATCAAACTCTGTCGTAAATAATAAAGCGGCATTTTATTCAAGTTTGCCGAGATTCACTTTAAGTACTTGATTTAAATATTTTCAGTACCTATAGGTAATTATTATTATCAAATCGGTATTATTCAAAACAATTTAAGTAAATTAGGTGAAATTGTTGAATACTCTCTAACTAAATAAAATAGAAACAAAAAGGTACCAACGCAACGTCCTTTGCATATATGCTTCGGCTAACACGGTTGAAATATTTATAAGAAAAATTAATAACTAATTACTTAATTAAGGTAAAATATATATAACTAATTACTTGATTTATTTGATTAGGATTCAAATATAGATGATTTATGTACTAGTGATTTGGCTTTTCAGGGTGTTTAGGTCGATTCCGCGTATGTACGAAGGGCTTTTCGAGCCGGGGACGGTTAAGATAAATTAGAACGAACCCACCTGGATATCCTGGAGTTGGTAGCGTCGGGTTATTTAGCTACGAGAGATATCAGGAAGGCGAGAAGGCGTGGGCTCACGCGTCGTGGAATTGTCGGCGTCGTGATTGCGTCACCGGATCAGAAGTTACGGGACATCGAATTCTCTCGAAATGGTATGCCAAACCAAACTTTGTCCAAACCATGGATTGGAAGTATAGAGGGGGAATCAATAATGGAAGATAAAAACAACAGGCCTAGAAAGAGAATTTGGAATGTATCGGGTACTAATGCAAACGAATATCCGTCATTATGCATAATTCCAGAATAAAAATTTACCAGTGATTTTAGGCGGCCATTTTGTGTTTAAATCCAGTAGAAAAAAAGAACTCAAGGAATTTAAGTTTTAAACCTTGAGTAAATCAGCAAAAAGAATTGCTCGGGGTGCTAAAATAGTGAAATTAGCCACCCACAATCAAAATTCGGAATAAATTCCAACGTAAATCGGCAAAACGCCTGAGAGTACAGTACCTCAAATAACGCACACTGCAAAGGAGGCTACAGTACTGACTGCCTGAGGAATGAACATCGTAGTATTCACCTTTTTTTTCTTTCTGTAATACAATTAGTTAGGTACTTTAAAAGTGTTGTTTTTGGCTTGACCGTACGGACTGGTATTTTTGGTTTATTTATAGGATGGACAAAATAATTTTAACTAGCATTTAAACATTTCATTAGAATTATAATATATTTCCTAAGGAAAATTAAATTAGATATTTTCTTGGAAAATAGACCCGTAACATGAGTATCTATTCTATAATTGATGTTTTATATTTAAAAAACAAAGAAGATTAATAGGAAAATGTCAATTAAAATGCAATTCTGGAAACTAGAAGTTTTAGATTGTACAAAATCTGTACCGTTCTCAATATTTTCCTAAAGCTCTAGAAAACGTAACTGAGAGGGAAATTTCAATTAAAATCGAGTCAATCCACCAAAATCGTGTAATTCGAAAAGTTCTTCCGTAATACACCATCTTAACGGTAAAGTTAAGGTAGCTATAGTCTATAATAATTTTTAGTTAACCGTTAAACCGAGAAATAAGAATAGACAATTTCAACAATTGTACAAAAGAAAGTACTTAAGATAGTAGATAAGGAAAATGTTTAGTTTAGAAAACGTTCCACGGGCACCAATTAATTTTTCCAGCGTTTTCTTTTGCCATTCTCGATCCACCACTTAAATGCACTTTTGAAACTGCTCGGAATAGTTAATGTCTGAAAAATAGAGCTGCGTTTTTCCGTATCCGCAGTATGCCGACCCCTTCCAAAACAACAGTAGTGAGCTTTGCTAGCTAGACTATAGAGTAAGCTGTGCTTTTGGAGCTATCCGGTTGTTCTCCATCCACTCATTCTCTCTCTCGCGTGCGCTCCCGCTGCACGCTCCTGTGTCCTCTGGCGCTGCGCTAGGGCCATTCGGGATCGAGACGCGTTTCCTTGAATACTCATTGTCCTGAGTACCCTGCTTTAATAGTTATCAAGCCGGATCTTTTGTTTTGACGGTTAGACAAATTTCAGGTCAGCCACAAAGGAGACTCCGAAAAGGACAACATGTTTTTGAGTATTGTGATGGAAAGTGAACTTAATTATTAGACAAACTATTTACTTGTTTACTAGAAATAAGTTGAGTGTGAACTAAAATGAATTTAATAAACGTAATTTTGTAAATTGACTTAACCGGTGCTTCGTGAGGTGAGTAATTTTCCTTTAAATCTCTTAGATAATTTAAATAAAAAATTGAATAAAAATTATTCTGAATAAACGGTGCAATATTATATTTCGATTCTTCTTGCAGTGCTTGCAGCAGAAATGTTTGAATTGATACAAAAGCTGGTGCCTTTCAGCTGCACCCACAATTTTTGAATAGGGTTTGACAAAAAAGTAATGAGCGCCGCATGTAGAATGCAACTTTGCACACCGGTTTTTATATGGAACTCCATATAATGCATTGTCAGATTTTGTTATTATGGTTTATCCTAAGGTGCATTGAATGCATTCGGGACTACGTACTTATTTAAAATAACCATAAATACAGTTGTTGGTAATCCAAATGGATTAAGATTACCTAATAATTGCCAATAAGCAAAAAACGTATAAAAAGATATTCATACATATTTAGGTAGTATACAGTACATATAGATGAAATGTGTCAAAAGTTTCCTGACAGTTGAAATTAAATGGTGCAACTGCAATATAATATCTCAATTTTTTTTGTCTCGCCGTAATTACTCGTGGCTGTAGGTTTTCGCCGCTGTTGCGAAATAAAATGGAAACGCTTTGACACACGTTTCTGTTATTTCCATTTTGTTTACAATAAATCTTGAGCGAAATGGACGGGAATGTCACACCTTTTTTTTTTGAAAATAATCCTTTATTATTTCATTATAATATTTATAACAATGTTTAAGAGTCTCTCCAATCAGTGCTGAAAGCGCTGGCCTCGAGTGTATAATTTATAATTTTTTAAAAAATAACCATACTTAAAACTAAAAGAATTGTATCATATTTATTTATTTTTCTAGAAACTAGCAACAAGAGTTAGGTCTTCTTTATTTTATTCCTAGGAATGTTTTCAGTCTTTTTACGAACACATTGTAGTTATTTATCAGTCTTAGAATTTCCGGTATGTATGAAGCTATATACTTTAGATTCTCCGTGTATTGGGATATAAAGTCCTACATTTATTTGACTGTAGTTCAGATAAATATACATTATTATGATTTCTCGCATTATGACTATGTATTTCGTTGGTGAATGTTATATGTATTAGTATTTATTTTTTTTTGTAAAATAATTTTATGCATTAATTTACCCTGTTCAAGATTTAATATTTTGTCCATTGTCCAACCTACTGAGACCTAATTCATTGTATAGGGTACCCGTGCTTGTAAGTATATCATAGTTGAATAAAACCTTCAAGACATTATTCTGTAAAATTTAATACCAAAATCTCAAAAATAGCTCGATTTCCATGACTGTGTAACATTTTATTTCACGGACAAAATTTCCTACATTATTTGTTGAAATAATAACCAGGAGTGGTTTTTGCATTATCCAGATTAAAAATTGAAGCCATTTTTAAAATGCAGTTTTACATTGAAACGGATTACATTGTTTTTTTTTTTTAAATTAATCTATACAGTGTGTTGGATTTTCTTGGCATGCAGACGTTTCAATTAAGACCGATGAAAAATTTGTTTACGTCAACTAGGATTTGAACCCAGGACCCTCGCATTTCCAGTGCAACGCTCTACCAACTGGAGCTACCAAGACCGGTTTCATTTCTACCTCGTCGGTCAAGTCTTTTAACAATTTAAAGTTGTTAGTTGTTAAGACCAACGGCAACCTTCGGCGGTTATCGTTGGACTTGACCGAAAAGGTAGAAATGAAACAGGTCTTGGTAGCTCAGTTGGTAGAGCGTTGCACTGGAAATACGAGGGTCCTGGGTTCAAATCCTAGTCGAGGCAAGAAAAATGTTCATCAGTTTTAATTGAAACGTCTGCATGCCAAGAAAATCCAACACACTGTAAATTATATAACAGAGGAAGAAACTTCTAAAAATTAATCTATACACCAGTCATAACTACAATATTATTGGTTCTTGGCTTGAATGGTTCAGGATGTGCTTCTGCTGGAAAATCGTACCTGTAAATTTGAGAGTTTTTATGTTGTTAGACCTTACTGTATTTTGTAAGAACAGAGTTTGTTATATTATTAGAACTGCCCTTTTTGCACTGAAATATTTTACCTGCTCACTGTCGGAATCTAGAACTTTTCTTTTTCTAAATCCTTCCATACTATTCTATGATGAGATTTGTCATATTATTTCATTGAAAAGTCCAATAAAAATTTATTCTCGAACTTCTTGAAATGATATCTTTAGTTGATAAAGTGTTTTTATTCATGCTCATTGGCCGTCGTGAGTTGGAATGTCTTCCTGCCGTTTCGCTAGCACGCGTGGCTATCATCTTCAGAGGTGCTTCCATATCCAATTCTGGTAGCAGACTGACACGTTTCCGTCCGTAAGTTGTATTTATGTGTAAGTGGCTGTCGTGGCGAGGGGCGGGGCTTCGCGGCATATGGCTAATCTGTACTTTCTCTGTACTCAATGGGATCTTTCTTGCGTCTTTGAGGATCGGGTCGAATTGGTTAAGTTTAAGTGTTTCTTCTTTCCTGTTGAAGTTCTCCGTATGTTTGTGGATTTCTATAGCTTCACGTACAAGACGATTGAGGTATCCGGAAGTCGGTGCAAGAAGCTTGACCTCACCAAAGAGTATTTCATGATTCCCTTCACTAAGAGCATGTTCCGCAACTGCCGATTTTTCTGATTGTAATAGTCTGCAGTTTCTTTTGTGCTCGTTTATCCTGGTTCCCATGCACCTTTTTGTCGTTCCTATGTATACCTTACCACATGTGCATGATATACGATAGACTCCAGCGCTTGACAGTGGGTTCCTCTTATCCTTGGCTGATCTGATTGATTGCTGTATTTTCCTTGTTGGCTTGAAGATTGTTTTTATGTTGTGTTTTTTCAAGACTTTCCCTATCCTGTCTGTCACCCGAGAAATGAAAGCAGATATGCATTAGCCACCACTGGTTGTTCATCCACGCTTTGTCGTGTGGCAGTTTTGGGTCGCATGGCCCTGTCGATTTCAGATGCAGGTGATCCAGTTCTTGCTCGAGATGTTGTAGCTCGCAGATGTTCCGAGCACGTTCTGTTAACGTTGTTTAATCCCACGTTTTTGCCTTGGATAGTGGTTTGAGAGTGAATGCAGGTACCTGTCTGTGTGTGTAGGACTTTCTTGCACCGACTTCCGGATACCACAATCGTCTTGTACAGGGTGTCCGAATTTGGATGGTTTTAATAGGAAACATCAATTTCTGAGCAAGATACAAAAAAATGAACCCCTCACTCCGAGGCTCAAATTTCTTGAAATTTTGATTGGTGCAAACCGCATTTTGATATCTTCAACCGTTTAGCCGCTAGAGGGCGATTCTCGATTTTGAGCAATAATGTGAAACCATCATAACTTTTTTGTTTATGAAAATTATTGATTTCCGTAAAAACTTTCTAGAAATACTTTTTCAAGCAGAATTCAGTGACGTTCTCAGTTTTTTTCTAGTTGGTCCCAACTCCGAGATATTGACCAAAGTCTGGTTTTTTTCAATAGGACACTCTATATATTAATAGCTCATTAGAAAGCTCGGCTTTTTCTGATTTCAATGATATAAAGTTCGATAGGTTTATCTCTAATAGTTTTCGAGAAAAAAAATTATTTCGGTTATTGTCATAAGAAGCAATGTGTAAGAAAAGAACTTTATATCTGTAAGGAAACTGAGAAAGGTCTCTTTCTAACTCATTGTTTCTTATGACAAAAGCCGAAATATTTTTTTTCTCGAAAACTGTTAGAGATAAACCTATCGCAATTTGTATCATTGAAATCAGCAAAAGCAGAGCTTTCTAATGAGCTATTAATATATAGGGTGTCCCATTGAAAAAAATCGTATTTTGGTCAATATCTTGAAATAGGGGCCCAATAGAAAAAAACTGAAAACGTCACTGAATTCTGCTTGAAAAAGTGCTTCTAGGAAGTTTTTACGGAAATCAGTTATTTTCATAAACAAAAAAGTTATGAAGATTTCACAGTATTGCTCAAAATCGAGAATCGCCCTCTAGCGGCTAAACGGTTGAAGATATCAAAATGCGGTTTGCACCAATCAAAATTTCAAGAAACTCGAGCCTCGGAGTGGGGGGTTCATTTTTTTGTATCTCGCTCAGAAATTGACGCTTCCTATTAAAACCATCCAAATTTGGACACCCTGTACGTGAAGCTACAGAAATCCACAAACATACGGAGAACTTCAACAGGAAAGAAGAAATACTAGAACTTAACCAAATCTGGAACCCGATCCTCAAAAACGCAAGAAAGATCCCACTGAGTACAGAGAAAGTTCAGGTTAGCCACATGCTGCGAAGCCCCGCCCCTCCCCCACCACAGCCACTCACAAACTTACGGTCGGGAACGCGTCAGTCTGCTACCAGAATCGGACATGGAAGCACCTCTGAAGATGCTAGCCACGAGTGCTAGCGAAACGTCAGGAAGAAATTCCAACTTACGACGGCCATTGAGCCCGAATGAAAACACTTTACCAATAAACCTGGGCCGCGAAAGTCTCACAAACGATATCTTTAGTTCTTCGCATTATTCATTCATCTCGTGAAATCTGGTCCCCATTCTCCTCTATTTCTCAGTTGTACTTGTTTTACCAATAAAGTTGTCAAAAATGCTTGTCCAAAATTATTGAAAGTCCTAATTTCTTTTGCTTGACTTCCAGGTTTCCAAATGAAATCTTAATATCTCCAAAGTTATAGGCTTATTTGCATTATTATTCTAAGATTCTTTAAATATTCAGTTGTTTATCTTTTGGATCCCCCATTGAAAAATTTAATGTGCTTTGTCAAATCTGTCGCGACTTGGTAGTTTTATTGTCCTCCTGGTATGGTGGTTGGAATAAACAAATAAACTTTATAATATAACAGGAACACATTTTCCATTGAAATATATTCTAACTACAATACTGGTTTATAAACAACATTTTTCATTCTGTTATGCGGCGTATATACCTACATATGTATAATTTTTTGGATTTCCTACTCGGAAGCTAGCTACGTATAGTTGACCGTGAGACAA